TGGGCTCGTTGGTGAAGTTGCTGCTCCTCTCACAAGAAGTGAAAGAGCTACAAGACACAGTACATCCATAATCAGCATCTGTAAAGGGGCATTGAGGCACCCCCACTCCGCCTTGATACACTAGGAGACCAGGGGCATTTGCTCCCCAAAGGGGCTTTCCAGTGGGACAGGGAAATCTACCTGCAGACACAGGTTCCCGGCCACGTGGGCCACACCAGCCCTGCTCTGTGCTGCTCTGCCTTTGCATCAGGATTCAGCCGGGCATAAAGAAGGCTGAAGCAGGGCGGTCTTTTGACCTCCTTCACACTAAGTTCCTTCTCTGAAATGAGCAGCTTTAATTTGCATGGCTCTCAGCCCTGGCTCTCATTAGAAGTGAAGCTCCAAAACATAATCTGGGCTCCATCCCAGGTCCATTAAGTTGGAATTGCTGGGGACGGAGCTGGACTAGGCATCTTTACTGTTTAAACCTCCCCGGTGCTTTTTCTCCCTGTCCTGTTGGTGGTGTTCTGTATGGCACCCTGCTGTAGTAAGTCTACACTCCCCACCTGTTCCGTGCTTCCTGCTCCCAACAAGAGGCATGCCTGCCTCTGGGAACAACATGTCTCCCACCTACACAGTAGGAAGGAACCAGGGGTCTTGCTTCCTGACTCAAAATGGAAAGGAGATGAAGGGGGTGGGGGGTGTTCAGGAGAACTCAATGGTTGTCAGGGCCTTGGATAGCTTGGAAACCAAGCACTTAGAACAGCTAAAGCGATTCATCTGGGGAGGAGATGGTCTCTCCTCCGTTCACTCAAGCTCCATTCACCAGCCTGTGCTGCTCTGTAGAATGTGCTGCAGGTATCCATTCCTGGAAGGGCACAGTGGCTCACCTCTAATACTTGGCATCTATGTAGCTTTGGACAGGGTGCTTAATCTCTCTGCCTTAGTTGATTCATTCACAAATGAAGATATTAACAATGCAGATGTTCTTGATAGGATTTCAATGAGGATTAAATGAATTAATACATTAATACATTTAATACCAGGTACAACACCTGGTACCCTGAAAACACTCAAGGAATGTTAAAAAGTTATTCACCAGGAAGGTTCCTGGGACTACGCAAATTGTGAAATACTAGATTAAAGATCAACAGACTTTATTGCAAAACTTCTCCAAATGACAGTATTAACAAGGCCACTGGCATGTGCAACAAAGAGAGAGAAGATTAAATGAGCAAATAAATGCATGCAAGCCACTTCCCTGTGCACAGAATGGATCCTTAATAAAATGTTTCCTACTAGGTTTCAGTTTTTGGTTTTGGTTTGATAAGTTCACTGCCACTGAGCTAAGTACCCAAGCTTTTTGCTGCTGCTGCTTTTTTTTTTTTTTTTTTTTTTTTGGTCCCATTAAATTGTTCAAGGTATCCTCAAACTTTTGATCATGTTGCCTTAACCTGCAGTAGCCAAGATTACATGCATGCACCACTGTTCCCAAGTATCTTTCAGCATTCTTAGTAAGCACCATGAATCAACATGACAGGGAGTGCTGGGCAGCCTCTCCCAGAGTTATCTGTGCTATTTTTCCACAGAGTATATTTCAGAATGAGGGCTCTATGCAGTACACTCTGGAGAAAGCCACTAAAGGAGTGGCCACCAGCTTTCTAGCCCTTTCCAAAGGACTGAAAAAGGACACGGGCCCAGTAAGAGCAGCAAGGATTCTGTCACCAGCAATGGCATGGAATGAGAAATGCTGGGTCTCCCCTGCACTCCGCTTTCGCAGCCCATGTGGATGGTGCTTCTATGGAAGGGCTCTGAGTCTATGATTCCAAGGAGCTGATTTGATTCTTGACTCTTCCATGGTCCTGGGCATGGCACCTGGCCTCTCTGAATCTAGTATTTTCATTTGCACAATGACAGAATATGTCTGAGGTCTCTTTTGATTCCAGGATCCCTCATATGTACATTTCTGACAAAATGAAGGAAGGAAGAGGAAAAGGAATAATATCTAGTCCTCAGTTCTTGATTCTAGGCTTACTTGGGAGTCATTTCTAAACAGTTCAGAAGCCTGCTCACTCACTTAGCTCGTATGTTCCCTGAGGATGAAGGAGAAATGCATAATTTGCCAAACTAGACCTGTGGCCATCAAGCGGTGGGGAAGAAACAAGGGGCTCGTTTTAACCCCTGTGCATTTGAAGAGATCACTAAAAATACTCTCTGTCAAAGAGCCGTGCTTTTAAACAGAGTGACTACCATCCATATTTTCTAAACTAAACACTGGGCCCCAGGATATCTGACAGGATTTTTAATGCCATCTGGTGTAAGTTCCCATCTCATAGATAAAGTGTGGAAGTTGATCTTTCAATTTTGGTAAAATGCAGATGGCTTGTAGGGAGACAAGGAACAGAACAGCTGAAAACAGGACTGTTCCAGGAGGCCCAGGTGATGTGGCCGTCACGCACAACACTTTCCCTCCCTCTGTACACTCAACACACCGGACAACAAGAGCACTGCTCTTTCTCCATCGACACAAACAGAGGATCTCAGGAACAACCACACTGGGTGTGTGGATTGGCATCTAACCCTTCCAAGCAGGTTCCCAGGGCTCTCTCACTTTCTTCTAGGCTCACTTGCAATATTTACTTCCACCAAATTGATTGCAAAGCAACAATTTCTCCCATTTAATTTATTAACCCACAAGACATAATGACCTACTTGGGAGTCTGATGTCTTCCCAGCGGAGCTCCCAGGCTGAGAACTTCTCAAAGCAAGAGCAGAGTACATTTCCTGGGTTAGGAGCTGAGCACTGTCCTGGCCCTTTGTCCTGCCCTGTTCTTAATTTCCTGCTGTCTGTGGTTCCTCTGATAAGTGTTGAAAAGGGAAAAAGTGTTATTTAATTGCTGTAAAATATCAAACAAGCCAGTGGGGAGGTTATCTGCTTTCCAACCTCTCTATTTTTTTGGCTAAAGGTTTTGTTACTTAGTTACTGAGGCAGCTGCAGGAGAGCCGGCCCCATGTGGGTCAGAGCAACCTTGGCAGAGACTCCATTCCCGGGAGCCAAAGAGGCAGGAGGCAAAGGGGATGGGAACTTGGGCTGTTGAGCACAGGTGGTAGCAAAGTCTAACAGCTCTTTGGAGGTGGGAAAGGCAGAGGAGGCATACAGGAACCAGATGAAATTTTCAAGAATTGTTTAAATGATACCTTTTCTCCCATCAAAGTGGATAAGTACATTCAGATCCCACCCAGCCAGCGGCACTAAAGTCAAGTGTACTTGAGGTGGACGGGCCCAGTACTCTTCTGGGCTGGGCCTCCTATTCAGTGCACAGAAGAGGGTTCCACTGTCTCTGGTCATCCAAGTTCAAATGCATACAGAGACACAACCACTTGCTGACTTGCCTCAAGTGGAGATGACTATTCAGCTGAGCCTCCAGGAGCAGCTTCGTTTTCCTGGTGGAATGCATACTAAAACTAAAGAGCGAAAAAAAAATCAAAACTGTACATGTATAAAACTTCCATCCATGTGTGTAGAGGGAGGAAACCTTGACAACCAGTGGCTTGTTTCTTGTATGGTTATAAAAGGGTGGTTATTTACTTTTTAAATTATACATGAATTTGTCATCAGTGGGTTTGAGAACATTTACAAGATAACATGGTATCAGGGAAATGGATCTAAGGGTAGCGTGGGCACTGCCTGGCTCTTCCTTGCGCACTTCTTTCCCTGGAAACCATCAGAGTCATGGATTTTAAAGTAGAGGTTGCAATAGGGTTTATAACTCGCCAGAGAAGGTGGAGTTTCCCTCAGCTCAATTCTTCCTTTTCCAGAGAATGGGAGAAAGGGACACACCCTTCTTCTGGTGAGCAGCCCACCCTGGCCTCATTACCCCCCACTTGGGAGTCTAAAGACAAACTAACTCCAAGGTTGGCTGGGACATCAGGCAGTCACTAGTTCCGTTTCCATCTATCCCAGGAGCTCCAGGTTGACTAATATCTCAAAAAAGACCTGAAGCCAACCAAAGTTTCCAATTTCCATGCTTAGGAGCAGCTCCCTGCTACCTTACCTGCTGGTTTCTTTCCCCACATCCCCCACTCCACCTGCTAAACAGCTTCTGGACACTCGCTTTTCCCTGAGAATTGGTAACGGGATAACAGGCTGGACAGATCAAGGCAGCTCAACCCACAGAACAAGTTAATTGGGGCTTAGTTTCTGACTTTCCATCCTCTAAAACTGTACCCGAGATGGCGTGTGTGCTTGGAGGGGGGCGAGGACAGGAAGGCTGCAGGATTATGACTTATTAAACTATTGTAACACAGGCTGAATCATCATAGACAAAAAAAATCAATAACTGCAACTCCCACTTCTTGCTGGCTCCTAGCACACATTTGGCAGAGTGGCCGCTCCTGTCCACAGACAGATGCTGAATGACGGACAAAAGCCATGGGACAGCCGGACACCTGGGCCTCTGCCCGTTGCTGAGCACCTGGCAGTTCCTTGAACTGCATCTTGGGACCCAGGAGCAGCTCACACACCTGCCTGTATTGGCAGCTGCATGGAAAAGAGGGGGTCCTCCCCACCCCTTTGCTCTGTACTCTTTCCCTGCTTCTGCACCCTGCACCCTGCAAGCAGAGCTAGCCCATGGTGGGCACTGCTTTGCAAACTTGTGTGACAAAGAAAACAGCAGAGGTCCCAAGGCAAGAGAGGATCGTGGTTGGTCCCCACCCTCAGCCCGCCTCTCCCCAACTGCCACCCTAGCTGCCAAGAAGGTGCTGGGCCAAAGGGAATCGATTCTATAAAATTCAAGGGAAAGCAGCGCGCGTCCTTGCCCGCGAGTCTTGGAGAGACTGGGGTCACTTCACCCTCCACGGCCCCGCAAGCAGGTTCCTCTCCTTCCCTCTCCCCGGGTACCCGCGAGCTCGGCGCGCAGCCTCCCGCAGTATTCTCCGCACGTCGCACCTAGTCCTCTTACAGGACCCGGCAGGCAGGCAGGCGGGCGGAGCGAAGTTGCGTGACGTAAGTGGCGGGGGATTCGGGGGGAAACGTGCGGAGGGGCTCTGGCAGCCCGGGCCAGTCCAAGACGCGCAGCCACCCGAGCGCACGCGCTTGCAAGGCCACCGGCACCCAGGACTCCAGTGGGCGGCTGGGCGCCGGCGGTTTGCGGCCAGGTCAGCTCCCCGGCGCGCAAGGGGCGAGGGGAAGCTGGCGCCAGGAGCCTGAGGGTCCGGGAGCCCGGAGCGCCCAGAGACAGGCTCCTGCCAAGCTGCTCCGTTCCCTGGCACCCGGCTTGGTAAGGAACAGCAACTAGGTACTGGCCGCGGAAAACCAAGGTAAAGGTGTGTGTGGGTGCGTGTGTGTTGTGTGTGACAGGGAGCAGAGACAGAAGGAGGGAGCGAGAAGTGCATTGGGGCACCTGCGTGCAGCTGCGCGGGCGTCCGCGCGCGGGTCGGCGCGAAGAGCACCGGTCCTGGCGCACTGTTCTCCGTCCGAGCGCCTGCTGGGGATGATGGTGTGGCTGTGGTGGAAACAAATGACAGCGGTGTCCTGGCGTCAGTCGGAGGCTGTCGGGGGTGTGTGCCGAACTGACTGGTCTGCACAGCCTCTGCCGGTGTGCCTGGCGTGCGCCCTGTAGTCCAAGTGGCCAGCGGCTATCTTGGGGACAACTTCCCTCCCAGCCACTTACACGTGAGCCCTGGAGCAAGGCCAGCGGGAGGGATGTGTTAGGTGCCGCCCCGGGCTCCTGCGGGTAAGCATCCCCGAGATTCCGAGCTCCAAACCTGGGAGTGGCAGGCGCTGGAGGCACCAAGCGGAGAGAAGAGGGGATCCTCTAGTTTTTCCTCGCCAGGCTGAGGGGGCAGACAGGTACTGGTGTGGGGTCGCATCTCCTGCCTCTGGGCAGAGACTACAGCCTGCCGACGCTGCAGAGACTGAACCCTGAGTGGTCAAGCCCCCAAGCGACTACCGTCGTCGCTTCCAGCTGTCCCTGGCATCTTGGTCTCACTCTGTGTTTACAGCTGGACGTGCTGGCACGCTGGTCTTCGTTCGCACTCCCTTCGTTTTCCTTGAAATGGTAGGGAATTCTTTAGAAGTCCCTTTTTCTGAGGGTCCCGGAGTTGAAGGAGGGTTTTCCTGGCTCCAGCTCCGCAGTCCTAAGTGCCCTCCTCCCATCGACTTTGGCCAGCATCAGGGCTTTTCCCTGGCGCTCTAGCGCCGCGGTGGTCCCCACCGGGTTGCTGTCTCTCTGCCAGTGGGGGCTCTGGCTCCAGCACCCCCCCCCCCCGTAGACCCAGTGCTGGGCTGCAAGGGAGGCAGGAATGGGAGATGAATAGGGAAATGATGCTGGGAAGACTTTAATCTAGACTAAGCAGGATTTAGGGCCAGCCTGATGCCAGGTCGCCATTCCATCACCACTGTCACTCTCCTCTTGAACAGGGCCTGGATTTACACTCTGAATAAACCAACAGCTAGGCTATTCCAGATAGCTTACACTGGAAAAATAAAGAAAGCAGAAAAATCAAATGTCCTCGTACATTTAATGTAACCACAATTCAACAAGTACCGACTGCTTGGCATGGTCCACTCTCTGTGGGCCAAGCACGGAGCAGAAGTATCTCCGAGACCTTAGGTAGCTGAGTTCCTTGCTAAGTGAGGCTCAACAGGATTTGAGCTTATTTCTTCCTTGGAGGAGCCTCACCCAGCTCCAGACTGGCTCCCCAACCACCACTTCCACTACCTCTACCAGGACTTTCAACCTCATCTCCTGCTACCTCTCAAACATGCTTCTCAGCCTATTTCAGGAAAAAACAAAACAAAAACAACAACAACAAAAAAAACCCTGCCCCTCATGTACTTTAGTCCACTAGAAAAGGCACAATTAGGGCTGAAAAATAGCATCTGATCCTTCCTTCACATCCCTGCAACATCATTATCACCATCATCAGCCTAAACAGGGCTTCTGTGGCCCCACGGGGCTTCAGTGTAACCCAGGCATTAGAGTGTGCCGATTCATGGTACATATAAGGCCCTCCTGCAAGGTTAAGGGTTTATATGCTCCAAGTGTGGCCAGCTGAAATAGAATTCTGGATCTGTAGAATGAAGTAACTGATCCAATGGTTAAAAATGATCATGGAAACAATATAAATTAATCCAGGGATACTAAAAGCAGCATGTTTACAGCCTCCATAATAGTTGTCAGTTTATGATTTTTTTAACTCAACCCAGACGTGAAATCCAGAGTCCCCAAAATACTTTGCAAAATAGATTGACCACAAAGCCCAGATTTTGCAGACACTGTGTGTTGGGGGGAAATTGGCACAGAAAGAGTGCGCCTGGCAATACAGAATGAATCACAAACAAAGGTAGGAAGGGATGCTCTAGTAATCCATGTTGCCTAAATCTCCTTTACCTGCTCTGTCTGTGAGCATTGAGCTTTCACTCTCATCAATTCGCAGGCACCAGGAAACGTATCCTGCGCAGGGAAAATGTGTCAGCCAGCTTCATTAGTCCTACTGTGTGCTGTGCACACCAACCCTTGTCATCTTCGTTCTCCCTGTCCTGTTGTTTCATGCTTCATACAACCAAGGCCCAGTTCCAAAATCCCTTGTGTGAAGCTTTCTCTAAATCCCCAGGGAAGAAAGAAATTCCTACAGCCTTTATTCCTCTCTCTATGCAATTCACATCCTTTATGAGTTGGTTTCCCATGTTGTCTCCCCTACAAAATTATCACTCCCTAGAGGGCACCAATCACATCTTTGTGCCCAACACGGAGAAGCCCCCAGTCATGTATTTTGAATGACTGTGGATAAATCACTTAAATATGGGATAATCTGTTGTTTTATATCTTAAGCCGAATCAATAGCATTACAGTTATTTGCTCAGCAAGCATGGAGGTAACACAGGAGTCAGTTGCTTTAAACCAAAGCCCTATTATTATTATTATTATTATTATTATTATTGTACTGGGAATTGAACTCAGGACCTTGCATGTGCCAGGCAGGCACTTGTCCCACTGAGCTATATCCCCGGTACTCCAAACCCCAATTATCACCTACTCATTTTCCAGTCTGTTTCCAGAAGTGCTGCCATGAAAAGCAGAGGAGACAGAGGGTCAGGTGGCCTGTGTTCAGATCCCAACATGCCAACTATGAGAGCAAACTCCTTAAACTCTCTAAGCCTTGATCTCCTCATCTTTAAAATCGAGATACTATCCTGCTTCTCAGGATGATGAGGAAACCAGGGAATGAGACTGAACTGTCTTAGTGTTCAGACCTAAAGACCGAGGCCCTCACCTGGTTCCTGTTTTTGTCCTTAAATCAGAGAATGCAGTCAAACTCTCCAGGGGGTTAGAAATACTCTAGAGCAGCACCCTGGGAGGGGGGGCCTTTAGGAAAGAGCTCACCTCATTGTGAGGTGGCAAGTATAAGGGATTCGAGAAACAAAAATGGGATAAACATCTAAATAAAGCACACATTTACATTTTTATTTTTCTGAGACCAGTGCTCACGATATAGTTTAGGGTGCCCTTGAGTTCACTGTGTAGCCCAGGCTGTCCTCAATTAAGGGGCACTCCTCTTGCCTCAGCCTCCCAGGTGCCTAACTTCAGACTTTTATTTCTAATATCAAAGACTGTAAATTGATTCACTATGCAGGCAGATTTCAATCAACTGAAGATAATGAGATGGTGTGAATAAAAAGGGGAGGGATGACTTAAGAGGTTCCAAATAGGGGCTCAACACATTCGCAGACATCTTCCCACATCCTTCCATGGCATCCCTCATTCTAACAAAGAAGGGTCTGAGCAGTAAGGGGATGGACATGAGGCCACAGGGGCTCAGCAACAGAGACCAGGACTGTTCTAACTCTAATTTTAGGGTTCTTAGACTGCAGAGATTGAGAATGGAAAGACTGCCCAGCAGGCAGCAAGTCTGCATAGATTTCCTCACAGGGAAAAGACTCAGGATGCCAGAGTGAGATCCTACCACCCCTCAGGGTCTGAAATTCCCCAGGCTTTGTCTTCTTTGCAGCTTGAACCAGTCAATACCTGAGGGGTCAAAGTATGTGTTCTTAAGGTCACAGCCATCCCCCACATATGCATTACCAAAACAGATAGCTGAACCCAAGCCCTTCTCCTATTATGGAAAAGAACTCAAAAAGTCTCCATAAAGACATGACCAGGCTGGCAGCTGTCACACCAACATGGAAAGATAGGATGTTTGCTAGTTTAAGAGTAGGTCTAAGAGAATAAAGCAGAAACACAGAAAGGCGGTGAGCGCTTAAATAGCCTGTGACTGATGGGTGCATCTTCTTTCTTTCCTTCCAGATGCTGCAGTGGATCCTTGGCCTCCAGAGCCCACTGCAGAGAATAAGATCTCTGGGCTGGCTGGCTCTAGACCAACAAGCAGGGCAACCATGGAAATGGTGTACGGGCACCTCAACAGGAGCCATGGGCAGTTGGCCTCACTCTTTGACCTCAGTGACTCAGTGGTGGCAGCCAACAGATCAAACCAGACACTATACTATGACATGACCAGCAATGCAATCCTCACATTCATATATTTTGTGGTCTGCATCATTGGGTTGTGTGGCAACACACTTATCATTTATTCATTTTCCATTAGGCCCAGATGAAGACCATCACCAACATTTACATCCTCAACCTGGCCATTGCAGATGAGCTCTTCATGCTAGGGCTCCCCTTCTTGGCCATGCAGGTGGCACTAGTCCACTGGCCCTTTGGCAAGGCCATCTGCCAGGTGGTCATGACTGTGGATGGCATCAATCAGTTCACCAGCATTTTCTGCTTGACAGTCATGAGCACTGATTGTTACCTGGCTGTGATCCACCCTATCAAGTCAGCCAAGTAGAGGAGGCCCCGGACAGCCAAGATGATCAATGTGGCAGTGTGGGGAGTTTCTCTGCTGGTCATCTTGCCTATCATGATATATGCTGGGCTTTGCAGCAACCAGTGGGGAAGAAGCAGCTGCACCATCAACTGTCCAGGTGAATCTGGGGCATGGTACACAGGGTTCATTATCTATGCTTTCATCTTAGGGTTCCTGGTACCCCTCACTATCATTTGTCTTTGCTACTTATTCATTATCATCAAAGTGAAGTCCTCTGGAATCCGAGTGGGTTCCTCCAAGAGGAAGAAATCTGAGAAGAAGGTCACTAGAATGGTGTCCATCGTGGTGGCTGTCTTCATTTTCTGCTGGCTCCCTTTCTATATATTCAATGTCTCCTCCGTCTCTGTGGCCATCAATCCCACCCCAGCCCTTAAAGGCATGTTTGACTTTGTGGTGGTCCTCACCTACGCTAACAGCTGTGCCAACCCCATCCTTTATGCCTTCTTATCTGACAACTTCAAGAAGATCTTCAAGAATGTCCTGTTCTTGGTCAACTTGAGTGGCACAGATGATGGGGAAAGAAGTGACAGTAAGCAGGATAAATCCCGGCTGAATGAGACCACGGAGACCCAGAGGACCCTCCTCAATGGAGACCTCCAAACCAGTATCTGAACTACCTGGAAAACAAAAGCACAAAGGAGCCACGCTCTGCCTCTGGCAATTGGCTGTATCCTCAGACCCTCTTCCTCCCACCCATCATTTCTAGAATAAAGGGTTGCTCAGCATGGCTCAATTCAGAGACTAGGGTTTGAGCTGGTCTGACTGAATGGTAATGTACCACATTGATTACCTCCCCCTTAAGGTGACAGTTAAATCCAGGCAGACAATTCAGAGTCTGGGGAAGAGGAGATCATGCCTGGGTATGAGCCTGAGAAATGCTGAAGCTCAAAAACAAAACAAAACAAGCAAACAAACCCCTACATATGTATTCGTGTGCTTGTGTGCTTAAAAACCAATATGTAATCTTGTGTTCTGATATTTATACTTGTATTATTTCTATGTATTCTTTGTATAGTTGTTACCTTTGTTTTCTCCACCCACGTTTGCAAGGAGCAAGTGAACTGTACATAGCATACATGGACATTTACCACAATACAGAACTGAAGAAATGGACTTAGCATGAAGCCAACAAAGTCTAAGCTTCACGGATCCCTCCAGAAGTATGGTCATGTGCTTATGACTTGTTAAAAAAATTGTGAAAGTAAAAAATTTTTGTATTTTTTTCTCTTAGGAGGCCCCCTAAATTGTATAAACTTCCAGTCTCACAAAATCCACCTCTGCCCTAGAGTATTTGGGTCATTAAATTCAGGAAAGTTAGGTCAAGGTAAAGACAAGATGGGAGAAGACACCTGAAGACCCCAAATACAAATTTATGAGTTTCTTCTTCTTAGATGCAATCAGTTATTCATTTACCCAAAAAGACTTAAGTGGTTGTGGTCAACAATCATTGCATTTATCAAGATAAAGCTGGCTTTGTTATAAGACTGCATTTTTCTTCTCAACTGGTTTGGGCTTCCTTAGGAAGTCACAGAGGGAAAAATCACTAACCTGAAAGGAAAAAAAAGAAGAAAGAAAGAAAGACAAACTAGTATGATTCTTGTGTAGAAGCAACTTTTTTTTCTCCTTCCCACCATGAAAATAATTAAGGATGAAGCAAAATTATCCCTTCATAAGAAACTATGTAAAAGGTTTTTTCTTTTAATGTTGGACATGACTTTCTAAGCAAAGAAAATGAAAATGTAATTCAACAACCCCTCAAAGAGTTTTTTAAAGAATTTTATACAAAATTAGGCATTAAGAAAATCACAATGCATGTTAAAGATCTGAGTACATTATTCATAAAACAAAAACACTCACACCAGCCAATAACTCTGCAGCATGGAGGGAGGTTACAGGGTGAGTGTGTGTGTACTGAAAGTGGCCCCATCTTGGGAGATTACTACCCTGCCTTCTTCACTGACCGTATACATGTTAAGCATTCCAGGTATTCTAACTTTAATGTGATGGATTCTCTGCGCTTCATCTCCTCCTGCTCAGAACTTTTGTTCCCAGACTGTTAGACAGGTTTATGTACAAGTGTTAAGAAGACACAATGTCTCATTTTGTGGACTGATCACAGTTGCCAGGATTATGAAGAAATATACACCCAGTACTTGCAAGATGCCACCATCTCTGTGTTTATATGAAAGTATGGCTCATACCATCTTGCATATAGACTATACCATATTTACAAATGAGCTTTTCCCTTCCGGTTCTCTAAGCAAGAGTTGTTTGAAAGTCAGAATGACTCAGTGTTCCACCTGTGGCTTCCTTGTTAACACATTGCTTTTATTCCCTCTGCCTACACCATTCACCTCATTCCCCAAAGTACTTGATTTAAGAAATATGTTCAATAAGATTTATGGTAGACAAATAAACCCATGCAAAAATAAAAAGAGGTACAAGTATGAAACAAGACCATAAGGAAATTTGTTACAAGAAAATTGCATGTGCACAATTGCAGGGACCAGGGTACTGTTGATAGGAAAAACATAGGATGACAGCCCCATTGAGCTTTATTAAATATTAGTAGGCAGTTTTGACCTCTGCAGCCAGACTCTAGCAATTAGAAAGGCAAAGGCAGCTAGACCTGAAGGAATTAGACAAAAACAGCTAAACTCAAACATTTAGGATGACAAAGAACTCAGGCCAGGAAGAAAGAATCTCAGACTTCCCGCTTCACTTAATCCTTCAGCCTAATGACCTGTCCCTGAAACCTCTTCCCATAACCTTACCCTCCACCAAAGAACGGGGAAAGGTCACAGTGCTGGAAGAAACCCAAGGTTAAAAGGAAAGACAAGCCAGGAACTCAATCAAATTCCAAGAGCCTACCTGGGCCAAGGGTCTCAATAAAAGGACCTGTAGACAAATTCATGAACAATTCACTTTTGGATTCTCCCTACTCATTCTGAGTAGCTATCTGCAATCTCTCTTTTCCTCCTTTACCATCTTCAAGTAAATTGTCTTCTTGTATTTTAAACTGCTTCTTTGGTTTTTCACCGACGCTGGTTTAGGATTACTGGGAGCTGCATGTTCCAGCAGAGCAGTGGCTTCAGGTCCAGCCCTGGATGTCGCAGTGTGGCTCAGCAAGGCGTGGGGTACAGCCCTCCCCAGACGACACAGCACTATGACCAAAGGCAAAGTCAGCTCCAACCTGAGCTCACGGCTTGCACCCTGGCAGTTGCATCTAATGGAAAGTGACATTTTAAAAATAAAAACAAGCAGAGAAAAAAAACACTATAAACTCATTTTTGCCATTATTATAAGGAGGTGTCCCAATGACAAAGGGATGATACAAGGACATCCAAATGATACAAGGGAAGTAGTACAACCTGCTGGATGTCCAATATTCTGAGTTTATGTACTCCAAAAAATCAAAACATGAGTTCTGAGGAACAACAGAAGATAAGAGTAGGAACTATTCATTAAGGGAAGGATAACTTCTGTCTAAGAGAAAAGAGGGGCCAGAAAGTGGATTGTCCATGAGTCCACTTCTCAAAGGAATTTTATAGAGCAAAATCATGAGGTGAGTGTAAAGCAGGACAAAAACAATCAACCAATAAGATTACAAGTATATTCACATAGGCAGTATTGATCCAATGAGGAGCAAGAATGTAGCAGGTGTACATGGAAAGAACAAGGATCTTTCCTAGAAGGATGAGTCCCCCACCCAGGTGACTGATCCCTGTTATTATATCAATCATTATGGTTTATCCCTGGAGAAATAGAGGCAGTCACTTAAACTTTGAGACCTGGCCTTCAACAAATATGCCTCCAGCCACAGTTGTAATGTGTTCTCATCTTCTGCACTGACTCCTTCCAGAGCATATTCCTATCTGACTGCCAATAAATATTTCTACCTAACTCAGCTGTCTATCATCTATCAACAGACTGATCATTTGAAGACAAACAAACAAATAAATAAAGAGGGGTCTTTAAAATTGATTCTATAATTTATCCAAATAAACAGTCCGTGAAAGTAGCATTTCCACTACATAGAAATATGTTCTCTGCATATAGAAATTTCTATCTCAAAGATGAGTTGTTCTCTGGTTTTCTTTTACCCAAAAGAGGGAATAAAACTTTTTATGTAAATGCCACTGCAATTTTAATTCAAAAATGTAATCAGCTTCAGCTCAAACTTATGAAGATAAATCTGCTGGATGTTAAGAGAATAAATAGTAGTGCATTCTCCTGCTTTTAGGGTATCAATTCCATTACCATAGGTAGTTACAAGTCAATTAAACCTCTGGGGACTTGGTGAGAAAAGTATTGGGGAAGATATGACAACATGGCCTGAACTCAATGGTGGTTTGTGTTTCAGTAGCATAGCACTGAGCAACATTGGAGTTGGAGCTGAAACTTTGATGGGGTTTATACCTTAGCGTGGAATGATTTAAGATGCAAAGACGGAAGATGGTGAGATGGGAAATGTGGGCTGGCAGATGGGATTTCCAGAGTTAGCTGTGAACTGGAATCTATGTGCTTACACAGGTTATCCTGTCCGTGAAGGAAGGTGGGTGTTGCTGGTGTTTACTTTTCAGCCCATACCCCCAAAACAGGGGCATTGCTTGTCAAAGCTTGCACCCCCGCTACCCTAGGTAGGAGAGTCATGATGGGAAAGGTACAGTCTGATTCCTGGGACAGGTAGGAAGAAGAGGGCTGTCAAGACACATGTTCCTACCAACTCCACGAATGACTGTTCAATGATGACTGAAGGTACAGTTGCAGGAAGACGGGAACTTGGGGCTGGCTGAAGAAGGGTGCCAGTGTGAACATGTTCCATTTATGGTCAGGAAAGTCTGTGGCATTTATCTAAAGCATGCCTTCTCATAAGAATCACAATAGCTCATAAGCATTTGTGCTTCTAAGTGGCGACTTACAATCAATCACTTGTCTTCATCCATATTGTTTCTAGAATCAAAAACACTAAATTTCCCATCAAACATTCTCTACCTAAGTGCTTGTTTGATTTCCAATATGTGAATTTCTGGGAACACCCTCTTAGGCAGAGCCTCTAACTTTTTCTAGTGGCTTGTGTGAAAAGTAGGCACCAGGGACCGTGTTCAACTCGCAGTGGAAAAACTTCTGTAGCTGCCATTACTGAGTCAGTGACCATTCGGCCTTGGAATAACATCTCAAGGGCAAGCTCTCACATCTGCCACCATCACTGCCACTCAAGGCCTGCCTACCCTTCCACCACTTGGTAGTGGCTGAGCTCTGGCAGGTATCTATTTGTTCTCCTGTAAATCTCTCTGGTCTTATCTATCTGTTCTGTGCTTAAAAACAGAGCTAAATATTAACCAAGACCTAACCAAGCCAACTATAAAGCACTATTGATTCTTCTAAGATGAGGAGTGCGTGTAACGTCATTAGAATAAATGCTGTGGCCAGATCACCCAGCACACCAAACACCTGCCTCTTATTGGGCTCTGATTTTAAGCAGTAGAGACCTGAAGGCACAGGCTCAGCCTCAGGGGCTGGAGAGACAGGAGACAGCAGGCAGCAAAACGGCAGTCTTTATTTTCCTCCTCTCTTTTTCCTGGCACTATCAAAGGGAGGGACTAGGGGGAGGAATGGGCCTCTTGGCATGGACATTGGTGCCCACAAGCAGAAAAGGGATGTCCTGATTAGAGATACCATTGCCTTGTCCCTTCAGGAAAGCCTGTGAGAGGTGTGATACAAAGCCCACTGACAAAAGAAATCTGAAATGTCATCCTACGGCTTTTCTGTCCCAATTATTTGGTGATGGGTGTCTAGCTGCCTAAGGATAAAGAATCTTTTTCAGAAGTCACTGAAAAAAGGGAGGCCTGGTTGAGCTCAGCCCTAGAGGCTGCCAGGTCTACCAAAGAAGATTGCTTGAGCCCTAGATGCAGCTCTTTCTAAGAGAAAAATGTGGACTAGGGGTATGGGTCAGTGGTCCCAGTCACAGGTCCCTCTTCCCCCCAAAAAAGAACAGACTGCTAAGTGGCAAGTACGGGGGTCCTGGAGAGAAGGTGCTGGTCACAAGGGAGAAAGACCCACGCCTGGGTAGCACTTCCTTGGACAACTGGGGTAACGGTTCCTGTTCCCAGGTGAGGGAGAATGTTCACTGCAATGTGAATTGTTAGTTTTTTTTTTTTTCTTTTTAAAAAAGAAACCTAAAATATCCTCAAACTGCATAACCAAGGCTTAGTTTCTTAATGTTAGCCAGCAACATCCCCCTTCTCTAGAGAAGAGAAATATTTTAAGGCTCTCAGGTGCTCCTGTGTGCTTTTACACTAGCTAGTGCTCCCAAACACACACACACACATGCATGTGCACACACATGTGCATGTGCACATGAGGTGCTGGTGCACTGGGGGTGCAGCAGAGCTTACACGTGATGCATGGAATACATGTGCATGTGATGGGCACCCTCACGTGCATATGTGTGGTGCATACTCAGACCTGTGAGGCACATGTGTAATGCACACAGGAGACATGTATGTGGCACATGAGATTTTCTATGGCTTTTCAAGGAAGGACAGAACCTTAATTTGATTAATTCATTGAATGACTTAGTTTTCAATTTTTCATTTTTTGAAATTCATTTTTTCCTAGGCTGAGGCCATTATAGGGAGAATAGCTATTGTATGGTTGATACATTGTGTTAACCTGAGAGATTTAGAAATTTAACAAAGAGACTCAGCAGGAAGCCAGGATCCTTACTTTGTAAATATTCCCAGCCTATGTAAGAGGAGGTCAAAGAAGTGGTATGAGTGCTCCACCAGTGGTGTATGTGTGGTGGGGGGTAGTCTGTTTAGGATATGAGAGAAGAGAAGAGGCTCATTCTCTGCACCTTTGCTCTGGCTGCCTTTGCTCTGGCTGCTTTTGCTGGCTGCTGCCTTGGAGTGTTGCCCGCTGCCAAGCCACCCTGTCTTGAAGCCAGCTGATTATGGAATGAAACCTCCACAAACTGTGAGCTGAATAAACCTGTCCTCTCTTCATTTTGGGTGTCATGTATTTTGTCCCAGCAATGAGAAAAAAGTAGCCAAGACACTCATGATTATTCATTTTTTCCTGGACTGCTACCACAAGGAGGAAATGATATACTGTATTAGTTAAATTTTTACCCAGAAGATTCTGTACCTGGTAACAGTGTAGGACTAGCCTCATTAGCTGCTCCTGACCCACAGGCCACCACAACTAAAAAAATAAAAAGTAAAGAGTTGGCAAAAGGGTGCAACTGGCTGAAAGGAGATCATCCCCACACGTCTAACAACTTAAAGCATCATTAAAAGCAATAGTTTTGCATGTAAGGATCACTGAAAATAACTGGTACATTTATCTGTATCAGGAAAGGGTCTTAACACGTTTCACCCTAAACACACACACACACACACACACACACACACACACACACACACACGTCTTAGCACAATTCTAAGGCTGAGCACCACAGGAAGCCTGCAGCATTCAGCCACCAGAAAACAAATGGCAGTTCCCATCCTCCCCTTTGAAGACATCTCCACAAAGAACCTCTTAAACATGGACACAATCCTCCCCTGCTACCGTCCTATTGCAGTCTGCTTCCTCAGCTCAGGATTGCAGTGTCAGGGCCTCCTGTTTGGCCTCGAGTACCTGCAGTGCTCACTGGGGTAGAGGGCTGGGGAGGAGTACGCCTTTCTTTGATGAACAGAATCCTGACCTCCAGGGTTTGTGCATGAGATTAATGAAGTTAACCAAGCTCCAGCTGCACCCACAACTTGGCATTGTAGATGCCAATGAGGCAAAGGCTCGCTTGAATGAAGATGTACTTTGTTTAGCTTCCGCTTAAACAGTCTTCAGTGGATTAAAACAGTCTCTTCAATATCTCTTCCAAGCTCCCTGATGGATGGGCAGGGGAGGCAGCGGACCACAGCTCTTTCCATTTTCTTCTCCTCTACACCTATCTACCTTTTTCTCCCCTGGTTCCAAGGGCTTGTCAATCCCAGAGCAGGAGAGGCTGCATTCTCCAGC